AAAAATTTAAAAAAAAAAAAAAAAAAAAAAATCAAAATATATCTTGAAAAAAAATTTTTCTTTCAAAATCTTCTTTCGAGGAAAGTAGCGTTAATTTCAACAATGCGAGATGCATTATCATTTCTGAAAAATATTTCTCGAAATGTACGATTAAAAATTAAACGTATGGACATTTACGAATCAGGGTTTGAAAGTTTGATTTCCCATCGTGAACAAGTGGCAACGTTGTGTCGCGTGTTACGCGTGTGTTGGCCACTGGCAGCGCATAAATTAATGTTATCACGGTTTGAACGTTGTGTATATCTCGGTGTATACCTGGCCACGATGCCTTCCATACCCGCTATAAAATTGATGTATTTTTTTGCACACGAATCGATTACGTTTTCCCTCGTTACGTGACTCACGTAACGTTCTCTGCATTTTCTTCCTTTTCGTCGTTAGGTAAAGGGGGTGGCCTCTGTTCCGTTAATTTTGCTCGCCTTTTCTTCCCGCTCGCGTTCTAAGAAAATCCCGTTCGAGCAAAATTTAAAATAAACTTGAACAAATTGATCCATTTGGATAGAAAGTTAACCGAGATGTTTTACTCAACAGTTTTTTCATTTGAAAAATAATAATCCGTTGTTATTTATCATGTTACCATTGAAGATCAATTATCATAAATTTCTTTCGAATAGCGAATCGCATAATTCGAAAATATTATCCTTAAAATCCTGTCGATCGAAAAGTAAAACAAACGAATTTTATTATTTTCATCTTTTCATCGATCGAGCAATCGAGTTTTATTTCTTTTTACAAATCATAATCTTCTTACTTTCGATATTACGCGTATAACCTAACCTAACCTCTCTCTCTCTCTTTCTTTCTCCATTTGTAAAACAGTAAGCAAGTTTTCTTAAGTGGCGAACAAGGATCGACAACAAAGCGTAATGTAACAATAAATAATTATAGGTGGTAAAATGGTCGGTGTTAATAATACGCGCGCGATGTGACTGGTTGATATTACACACAAAGAGTCGTGAAACTGCATTTAACACGGTTCTTTGTCGTCTCCTGTCCCCGCGTTATCGCATAAATGAGCGCATAAAAGAAGCGCGTTTAGAAGGCCAGGTGGACAATAATTTCGAGCCGACCAGTTTTTGCCAGCAACGAAAACTCTATCTTCTCTAACCAAAAGATATTATCGTCCCGATCTTTATTTCAGTTTAAATAAAATTATCGTGACATTTTTTCGTTTAATCTTATCGAAGAATTATATCGAAGATCGCGAGAATATCGGCACAAATTCCAAGATTCGAGGAGGAGAAAGCAAAGGATACGTAGATAAAAAATTTACAAGCAGGATAAATTATTATTCGAATGAAAAGATCGTTTAAATTGATCGATCCTTTTTCAACTGATCACGTTCAATCCTGCGTTCGATTGTTTCGTTGCAGATGTAAAATGGACGACGATTAAAAACAAAAATTGAATAATTTACATGTAACAATTTGTATAAAGGCAATAATTTTAGTTTTCAAAAGAAAAGTTTGAAAAAAAAATATTATAAATCGTCTATGATGATTTTGAATCGACGAAACGCGAACAAAGGAAGAGAGAATTGTTCTCGAAAGCGGTACGAACCACTCTCTATACATCGCGGAATTCGATTGAAACTTCCGATTCAAGACGAGTTTCTTCCTTACCGCGGCGAATAATCGCAAGAAAATCTCGACACTTTGTCGACTCGTGTAAAAATCTCTCGAATCGTAAGAGGGAATCGATGTATTCGCTCAGGAATATACAATTCCCCCCTCCCTTCCCATTTGTCTCCTTTTCCTTTCCTTTCGTTCGCGCGAAAAATACACTCGCTGAATGGGAAGAACGGACTAATCGTTGGCAAATTTCTTTCTATTCTTTTCCTTTCTATCTTTCTATTTGAGCAAACAAAATATTCAACAAAATTTGATCGATCGATAGATTTGTATCAATCTATCGTATTTATTTTTATTATTTAATTCGATCTCGAAGAGAAATATAAATACATTTCGCAAACGATTACCTCGTCTCTTGACTTCCTTACGAAAGAATTTTTTTTTCATCCTTCTCTTTTCTTTTACATTTTACACGCGTGCTACGAGGAGAGAGATATATCGTTCTATTTTTTTTTCTCTTTTTTCTATTCCCTTTATTTTTTTTTTATATTATTTTTCTAGGCAAAAATTCAAGACAGATCGTTCGTAAAAGAATTTTTTTTCCCCTTTAATCTTTTCATATGTATATATTTTATTCCTTTTCTTTTCGCTTCGCTATTTTACACGCGCAACAGATACCTATCTTATTTTTCTTTATTTCTACACGTTTTATTCTTCCATTATCTATTTTTCCTACGCTTTATACTTTCCACAGTATACGCAAAAACAAAATTTCTCTTATTCTCACTCCTTTTTTTATATATTTTTAAATATCGCCACGCGAAGAAAGATACAATAGGGATAATTTGAAAAAATAACGACTCACCGACGCTGTTTTCCCATTTTTGCTTGTGACTTTCAACAGGGATCCCTCGTACCCCTGAAACAGAACAAATTCCCATGCGCAATTACAAATGAGACAAAAGAGTTGAATATTTTGAAATAAAAGAATCGTGCGATTAATCAGAGGAGGAGAGGGGGAGGAAGGAGGGATATACATTTAATTCTCTGCAAATTTCTTAGATTCTTAGATCTTCCATTCGATCGAAAATCTTTTGCTCGTAAATCGCGTATTTTTTCGTCTTTCCTTGGAAAATTTTCTGCAATGGCAGATCTTTCAAAAATTACACACGCGGATTAGAGAGAGAGAGAGAGAGGTGCAGAAATCGTCAATGAATTCACGAATCTTGCGAGAAGACTCGTCATTCGTGATCCTCGTCAAAGAGTTAAACCCGAAATTAATCCGCAAAGCAAAAGCGTTTGCCTGTGCACCAGGCAGAGGTGAATCTTGGAAATTTGCATATCTACCGTGTAATTATCCATTCTCGTGGATAATACATATCCGGCAACTCGAGGATATCTCCGATAACATTGATTTTAGGCAAACGCGTTGAAACGAAAATTTTCGAGGAAAATGGATCGAATTCGATTCTCTCGAATTTTCTTTTTCTTTAAGGCTATCCCTTAGGATACAAAATTTTCACGAATCTTATTCATCTGAAATCAAAATTGAATACGAAAGAATGTAGCGTTTAAAAATTAGAGTTATAATAACATTAGAGTTATAATTTAAATGAAATTTTTCAGGTTTAAAATTTATAATATCTACGTGTAATTTTTTTAATTTCAGCCAATTTTCAGTTTGTTTTTGTTAAGTTAGAGGTAAACGAAGATTTCCAGAAAATGGATCGAACTGAATTTTCTTTGATTATCTCTTAGGATTAGAATTTTAACGAACTTATCCATTTGAAATTAAAATGAACAAGAAATGAGTATGTGGCATTTAAAAATTGTACAATTTGAATCATAATTTAATTAAAATTTTTTTAGTTCAAGTTTAAATTATAATTATATCTGTATGATTATTATTATTATTTTTTTTTTTGGACGTATCCTATTTAATTACAATTTTCATTTTGTTTTTATTAAGTAACGCGTAACATTAGAGGCAGGGAAGAACTTTAGGCTATGAAAACAAAAATGCCTTACGTCTTGGATCTTTGCTATATCCCGTTTACATTGCTAACATTTGCCCACAGGCTATTTTCATCCATTCAAAGGTAAGATATGTATCAAAACATTCTTGCCTTATACATTCGAAATTGCATCATACGAGATATTCACTTATCTCATATCTCGTCGTTTTCCAATCTATTAAAATTCTTCTTTTTCTCCCCCCTTTACTTTCTTCTCTCTCTCTCTCTACTCTCAAATCTAATTTCACAGTAACCGAGTAAAATTAATCGTAATTTCTCACGCACATTTTCATTATTTTCAAATTTTATATTATTACAATAAAAAAAGAAAGAAAAATAATTTTAAAAATCTCGACTATCAAATCGTACTCGTTTAATTATTAAAACAAGCGGTTAAAAAAATTAAAATATTCCGAGTCGAGTCGAAATTATTTCAAAGCTATTTCAGAACTATTCCAACGATCCCTTGCCTCTTAATCACGTTCAAGTCGCGCTAGAATTCCTCTTCTTCCAACGCTCCTCCTCCTCTCTTATTTTTCTTCTTCTTCTTCTTCGTCTTCGAAGAATAGCTTACGATTTCTATCGATAAATACTTTGATCGGTACTCGAGCTTGAATTAATCTCGACTATTAATGCTAATTTAACCGTGGAGCAAGGTTTATTGAGATCTTGGTAGATTTCGTTTCAAAAGCGCGATAACGAAGATGCCTTGAAATGCTTACTCGAGGGACATCGCTCGAGCATCGTGTTTATCGAAGTATTGCGTTTCTGACGAATGAGAAAGCTAACGACGGTAACCATTTTTCAATTTGTCGAAGGAAATACGTTAGACGTGAATAGGATATAAAAAAAAGAAATAAGATAAAAAATGTAGAATGTTGAAGAAATAACGTGACAAAGTTTTGGCGAAAGAAATATATCTATTATGTGCGACGAATATTCGATATTCCTTTCTATAAATTATTATATATAGAAAATTAGAAAATTTGGATTTTAGATTAGTAATTTAGATTAGTTTTCTGAATGGGAGAATTTAGGAAAATTTTAAAAAATTGAATGAAAGATTCAAGAAATCAAAAAGGGAGAGGATTCGACAAAAGATTTAATTAAAATATATTCGTAAAAATGTTTATAAATTGACTTTTGTTAATTTGCAAAAAAGAAATTTAATCTCGTTCAAGATTATTTAACAAAGTTGTTGCCTCGACGAGATGACTTTTGAATATATTTGAAAATATTGGCGACGTTGGAGTTGGGTAAGTATCTTATTCACTTTGCCATTGGCACTGAGACGATGGTCGTGAAAGATATTTCCAGTAAAAGAACTTCTTTCACGTAGAAGTATCGTAAGAAATCGCTATCTACTCGAGACTCCGAGACCTAGTAAGTAACTTCATCTTTGAAAACGAGGAAGATTGAAGATTCGTTTCTGATAAATAAAACATATTCTACAAGCGAGTCCTGCTTGTTTTTAGAAATAAAATATACTTGAAAAATTATTCTTCCCGTGTTTTTCTCCCATCCATCGTTTCCATTCCATCGGTCGTAAAAATTAACGATCACCACTCGAGATAAGAAATTACATATCCGCATTTTTCTTTTCTTTTTTTTGATCTAATAAAACAAGAAAATATTTTAATCTCTAGTCATGAAGAAATTAATTCGATTCAGGAATTTAAAATTCAAATGAAATCGATTTATTTGATTCATTAATTTCTGCCTTTTATGGATTACTAGTGTATTCCATTTATCGATTAGCACGATTCAATTTTTCAATTGACAAATTCCATCGAAGAAACTTGGATAGAAAATTAACTTGCATTGAATAATAAATTCACCTTTATGACCTATAGAAATAATTAAAAGATAAAAATTTCAAAATTTTGTTTTTTCTAAAATGGCGGAATTTCAAATTCGAAATATAATAAAATAACGAAGAACTTTAACTTTCTCTAAATTTTTACATTCTCTACCTCGTGTATTATTTAAAAAAAGAGAATGAGTTTTTCAAAACGTGGTCAATTTTTTTTTGTTTCACCTCTGTCCCAAAATGTTCCAATTTCTGGTGAAAATTCGGTTGTTTCGAGCCACGGCACGAAGGATATTAAAAACGGCCAATTGTTGTTCCTCCTGTGCACAGCCGTTCAGATAAGCGAACAAGCGATCGTTAGGAAAGCCAAAACGAATAAATTCCATCGAAGCTCTGATAATAACGAACCCATATTTCTTTCGATTTTTCGAAAAATTTTGACGCGTCTCGTCGCTATTTTCCCAAAAGGAAATTATTTCATCGAGAGCAAAGTGAAAACATCGTATTACGAAGTAAAATTCGAAATTAAGGGGAAAATTTATTTATTGGGATGCAGAAAATGGCGGAATTTCAAATTTTTATTTAATAAGATTTAGAAATACGTAAATTTGCTTTTAGGTTAGATTATGCTTACGTTGTATATGGGTATTAGATTTAGGTTATGTTAGGTTTCTAATGTCGTTATAAAAAGATATAGGTTAAGTTATACAGATTTAACTTTAGGTTAGTTTACGTTTATATCCACTGGTTTACTGGAAGTAAAAAAAAATTTTGATTTCTTTTTCCAGTATTTTTTTTTTTTTTTTCATATCTCGTGCTTTATTCGATTCGTGAATATTTATTTTTTGTTTTAGGTTAACTTTATAAGTATTAAGAGGAGATTAAATGTAGTTTAAGTTGCATTTATAACGTTGGCTATGGGTATTAGTTTTTTTAAGAGAATTAGATTTATGATAAGTTAAATTTATGGTTATTTGCGAGCATAGAATAATTTCGAAGAGTTTTCTTTTTTCTTTCTTCTTCCTGTTTACGGACATTAGTAATTGTTTAACATGGAATATAGTATACCAGATATAAAGCAAAATAAATTATCATTGCTTCATTTTATTACAATTTGTTTATCCTTTAAACGCAAAATAATCAAATTCTTTGCACAATTTTTTAATCGACGTTTTTTATTTTGATAAAAAAAATCTAAGGAACAATCTTCGTGTTTTACAAAATTGAATAAATATTTCAAAAACTTTTATCCAAAACGATTTTCTAATTTTTGTAATTGATCTGGATACGATATATATATATATATATATAACGTAATATCGCGTTACATTTAATCAGATTTAATTAAACTAAATATAATAGAATCAAATTGGACTCGATTCAAATTGATTAAATTCCCTTAAATTTCGTATATTTAATTATCGCATCTAAAAATGGAATTAAAATGGAGAAAAAGAAATTATTCGGGGCATTAAAATCTTTGTTACCTCTGATCGAAAATATATCATTGAAAAACTTGTTCGTAATATTCAATCTCTGACTAAGCTTCGTTGTTCATGCAAAATACCTCGGGAAAAAAGCGGAACAGAAAAAAAGAAAATATCTTCCCCGTTTACTGGAACAATATTAAAAAAAAGTATTTATTCAATTTTATTTATTCAAAGGGAAATTTTTAAAAAAACAAAACACATGAGATGAAAAGAAAATCGTTTTATTCCCAAATGGAATAAAATTGTCGAGTAACACGAACCTTCTTCTTTCGTGAGAAAAAGATAAAGATACGATTTACAGAATTATAATAACTCTTCTAAAAATCTGTGAAACTCGAGATTTGGTTTTGTTTGATTTTCGCGGTTTTTAATATTTCCAACCCACGTAAGGAAGAAATATAGATTTCACGATCTACACAGATTTGCTACCACACTTACTTGACCTGAATCCAATCGAATCACCGAAGAAAGGGAATTGGACAAACGGATGTAAGAAAATATTATCAATGCCGAAGGGGATTCTTCGTGGGATCTCTTGAAAAGATACGAAAAAAGAAAGCATCGAGGGAAAGATAGAGAGGAGGGAAAAAATCGAAGAAACGTA